TTTGAAATCAGGTGGGCCCTCAGTTGGGATTGGGAGTGGTAGTTGAATTCCAAGAGAGCTTTGAGACTGGCTGAAAGGGCACCCCTCATGTGCTGCCTCCTATGGCCAAGGGGGAAGCCTTATGCCTTACCTGAACTCTGCCTTTGCAAATCCTTGCAGACCGTGGGCAGGTGCCCCAGGGTACCGCACACGATTTTACAGGATTTTGGAGAGGTCCACAGCGACACCTGCCGGACACCATGCAAAACTGCTAGCTCAAGGTTGTTTGCAGTTTGAACGTTGGAGCTTCATTCCTTCAGAGGATGTGGTAACTCGGTAAAGCCGGTTTATGGCAGTTCCAATAAAAAACAAGTATCATACGAAAATTATTGTGGAACAGGAAATGAGGGTGGTAATGCCCAGTCTAACTTCAAGGGTTGAGTTGTGTGGAGTCCTGTTCAACAAGCTCTCATTCCGTTAGTAGGTACTTAGGATTATTCAAGAAGGAACTAAAATAATATTTTTTCTTTCAATTTATGTGTATTTTTCAAGTGGCATCTAAGTTGTTAGGACATAAATATTTAAGAGTTATTTTGGCCTAAATACTTACTAAACCTAACTGTTAGGTTTTACTGGGGGGATGTTGTTTGTTGCGCAGGTGGGGGTAGAAGGTGCCCTGAAAAAATTTCGGAGACACTGGGTGCCTTGAACCAAGAAAGTCTGGGGTCTCTGCATCATGCTCTTTACAAAAAGTTGTCTTAAGCAACCCTACCTCTGTTTTATAGATGAGTCAAGAAAGGCTAACTCACGTGCCTGAGGCCCCCTAGGGGTGGGGCTGGGGGGTGGTATGTGGGGACAGTGACATTCAAACTAGGTCTCTGATTCTCTGGAAGGCAAACAGCTTCTCAATTTAGATTTGTCTCCTGATTGTGGGAAAGGGCAGCCTTTTTGGTTTGCGGAGAAGCAGGGTCATGTTCCTGACGAGTCCCTTCTTATTCATCCCAGGGAGCCCCCTACTCAGAGGCCCCAGGACCGCAGCCTCTGTGCGTGTGGGAGCAGAAACTCTCCGGAAGCTCTGCTCCCCCTCCCCAAGCAAATCCACCTTCAGTCTGGAGGCCCAGGCTCAGCCAGGAGGCTTCGGGAGGACTCCGCAGCTAGAATTCAAACGCCGGGGGCGGGGGGAAGGATCCAGGCCCCGCCCCTGTCCCGCCCTCCGGTTCCCTTTTCTAACTGAAAAGTCACCACGGGGCCGCTGTAGGCAGCAGGCAGACTCCTGCAGGGGATAGATAGCAGGTAGAGCAACGAGACCAGGAAGGGACAGCCCCCAGCATCCTCCCTGTCCTTCAGCTTGGACATGAGAATCCTGCCCCCAGCAGTGAGCTGCCTGCTCCCTAGGGCAACTTGCATTGGAGGAAAAGCACTGGGCGGGGGGCGGGGGCGGGGGCGGGGGCGGGGGGGGGGTGTCCCACCTTCCCAAGGGGCAACTGCCAGCTTCATCCTGCAGAGGCAGACTATTGGCTCTGGGGGACTCTGACAAGTCATTTAACCCCTCTGAGCCTCTGTTTTCCCCCCTCTGCAGATGGGAATAGCAGTACCTGCTAGGTGGAGTTGTTCTGAAAATTTAATACATTATAAAGCTTATACTTCGTGCACGGCTAAGTATAACATGGTCTGTTTGCAGTGAAATTTAGCTGTCTGTTCATTTTCAACAAATAATTACTGAGCACCTACTATGTATGTACGAGGCAATATTCTAAGCACTGGGAAGACAGCAGTGAACAAGATGAGAAAAAAGCCCTGCCCTCAGGGGGCTTACATTGTAGCAGAGGGAGACAGACCATAAATAACACACGTAACACATAAGTGAATTACAGACAAGGAGCCACATATGTAACTTACAATTTTCCAGGAGTACTGTTACAAAAGTAAAAAGAAACAGGTGAGATTAATTTTTCTAATTTTTAATTTAGAAAATTTTAAATCGTGTTCTAAAAACATGTTAACTCTCTCCCAATACATCCAAAATATTATCATTTCACCCAGAGGCATTAATGCACATTTCAAGTACTCCGTAGCCACGTATTGTGGACCATGTTAGAAGGTGAAGGGAAGGGGCACCTGGGTGGCTCAGTCAGTTACCGACTCTTGGTTTTGGCTCAGGTTATGATCTCTCCAGGTCGTGGGATCAAACCTTGCATAGGGCTCCGTGCTCAGCAGGGAGTCTGCTTAAGATTCTCTCCCTCTGCAGCCCCCCTAAAATAAATATATCAATCTAAAAAAAAGAAAGGTGATTGGAACAATAAAGACATAATTCAGGGAAAGGGGGACAGGAGCCCCAGGTAAGGGGAGCGGACAACAGACAGGGAAAGCGCATTTGCTCTGACAGAGAGCCCGGTTACCACAGTTAAGCAGTTCTCCTTGCTCTGTGCTGGCCTGGCCTGGCTCCTCCGGGAGGATTTTATGGCCAAGGGCACGTTTTCCTCTCCTCCGCTGCCAAGCATGACCCTTCTGCAGAGCCCTGAGATGCAGGCCTCCCAGAAATGCCGCAGCCCTGGGGGGCAGCCCCTCACCACCACCTTGCTCACTCGGGGAAATGGCGATCACTCCGTCTTCTGGGAGCTGAGGGCCAGCCCAGGGGACAAACTTCAGGAATCTGACTGGAACCGGGAAGAGGTATGTGTGGGGGTATGGGAGGTGGGGGTGTGAGGGAGGAGTTCTTGCCCAGGGCTGGGATTAGAGGGGAGGTGAGTGAGGGTTGCAGCTGTCTTTATTTAAAATTGTGATATTTTATGAAATCTTGCCATTTGCAATGGTGTGGATGGAACTAGAAGGTATTATGCTAAGCAAAATAAGTCAATCAGAGAAAGACAATTATCATATGATCTCGCTGATATGTGGAATTTGAGAAACAAGGCAAAGGATCACAGGGGAAGAGAGGAAAAAATGAAACAAGACAAAACCAGAGAGGGAGACAAACCATAAGAGACTCTTAATCTCAGGAAACAAACTGAGGGTTGCTGGAGGGGAGGGGGATGGGGGGATGGGGTGGCTGGGTGATGGACATTGGGGAGGGCATGTGCTATGGTGAGCAATGTGAATTGTGTAAGACTGATGAATCACAGACCTGTACCCCTGAAACAAATAATACATTATATGTTAATTAAAAAAAAAAAAGTCAATTGCTCCTAAAATTACTGGGACTGTATACATATATCGGATTATCTATCACATTGTACACTTTAAATATATTACAATTTTATCTGTCAGTTATATCTCAATAAGCCAAAGTTATGTTAAAAAATAAAATAAAATTGTGGTATTTTAGGGGTGCCTGGCTGACTCAATTGGTGGAGCATGGGACTCTTGATCTCAGGGTGTCGGGAGTTCAAGCCCCATGTTAGGTGTAGAGCTTACTTAAAAAAAAAAATAGGGGCACCTGGGTGGCTCAGTCCTTAAGCGTCTGCAAAATAGGGACACTTGGGTGTTTCAGTCGTTAAGCGTCTGCAAAATAGGGGCGCCTGGGTATCCCAGTCGTTAAGCGTCTGCCTTTGGCTCAGGTCATGATCCCAGAGTCCTGGGATCGAGCCCCGCATCGGGCTCCCTGCTTCTCCCTCTCCCACTCCCCCTGCTTGTGTTCCTGTTCTTGCTGTCTCTGTCAAATAAATAAATAAAATCTTTAAAAATAAATAAAATTGTAGTATTTTGTTCATCACAGATATTTTTGCCTGAACTTAAAAAAAAAAATATTGACTCTTGTATCATAAAATTCACCCTTTTAAAAGTGCTCAATTCAACGGTTTTTCGTATTTTTAGAGTTGTGTGACATCACCCAGTTGATTTTAGAATGTTTTCATCATCTTGAAAGAAATCCCTATACCCATGAGGCAGTCCCTTCCCCCCAACCACTTATCTACTTTCTGTCTGTATGGATTTGCCTCTTCTGGACATTTCCTATAAATGGAATCATGTGTAGCCTTTTGTGACTGGGCTTCCTGCACTTTGCACAATACTTTCAAGAGTCACTTATGCTGTAGCAAGTGTCTGCATTTCCTTCTTTTATGGCCAAATAACATACCACTGCATGGATACACTACATTTTACTTATCCACTTGTCCATCGATGGATATTTATGTTTTCTCCCCTTCTGGTTATTGTGAATAATGCTGCTATGAACATTCATGTGCGGGCTTTTGTGTGGACATGCTTTTAATTCTTTTGGGGTTTGCATTTTGGTTTTTAATACATTGTATAAAAATATAGTTTTTCTCGATTACTGAGTTTTTTGATGCCCCCTTAAAATTTATATGTGAGTCGAGTGCCTGCCTGGCCACACCTTGTTCCCACCTTAAAGTCTGGTCCCTTGCTAGCTGTGTCGCTTTGGGCAAGTTGTTTAACCTCTCAGAGCTTTTGGATTTCTGGTCTGTAAAATGGGGATAATCTCTGTACCTGTACATTTTACAGACCGGCAATCAGTAGACTTAAGTCAATGTGTCTTTCCTACGGGGAGGCCTGGTGTTGGGGCACACACCCAAAATGGATGTGACCTAACCCTGACCTTGAGGAGAGCTGGCCCACCTGCCTAGAACCCCTTCCTGCTTCAGTTCCCAAGGGAAACCTGCTCTTTTCGCTCTCCTGTCTCAGCCTGAGCCCCCTACAAAGTCCTCAGGGGCGGGACCCAAAGCTGTTCACCAAAAGGCCTCTGTGGCCCCCCAGCCCCTTCCATTCTGGCTGCCCTCCCCCCTCCCCTGCCTTCCCCACCCTCCCCTCTGCCCACTCCCGTTGAAGGCCTTGGCTCCCCCGTCCCTCTGCACTGCCATGAGGCCTGCACTTTGCAGGGCTGAAGTCCAAAGTTCAGTCCCTTCGCTAAGCACACGGATAAATATGAACCTTGGAGAATTTCCCCAGCTCCAATGTAAACAGAGCGGGCAGGGGCCCTGATTCACTGGCTGCTGGGGCCAGTGTTGGGGGTTGGGGTGCCCACAGGGCTTGGTTCATGGGGTTTGGGGGGGCAGTAGGTGCAAGGAGCCTGGTTTGTGCCTGCCTGCTGGTCGACCAGCAAGTAGACAGCCCATTCGGTGGGGGAGGCGGCCGTTTTGGTGGCCCCAGGCCGCGTGGCCCAGTGGTAGCAGAGCCATGGTTTCTAAACTGAGCCAGCTGCAGACGGAGCTCCTGGCAGCCCTGCTCGAGTCGGGCCTGAGCAAAGAGGCACTGATCCAGGCACTGGGTGAGCCGGGGCCCTACCTGCTGCCTGCAGATGGCCCCCGGGACAAGGGGGAGTCCTGCGGCGGGGGTCGGGGGGAGTTGGCTGAGCTGCCCAATGGGCTGGGGGAGGCGAGGGGCTCCGAGGACGAGACGGACGACGATGGGGAAGACTTCACGCCGCCCATCCTCAAAGAGCTGGAGAACCTCAGCCCCGAGGAGGCAGCCCACCAGAAAGCCGTGGTGGAGACCTTGCTGCAGTAAGGACCCCTCCCCTGTCCCCAGCATCCAAGGAGCCCAGGGAGGCCCACCCTCAGCTCCTGATTAGCCCTTCTGAGTCCAGAGTTCCCTGAGCTGTAGGTAGCTTTTAGCCTGGCTGTTGGGAAGGGGGACGGGGCCCACGCGAGCTCTGGGGCGACCCTGCTCCCAGGCTGGAGCCTCCCAGCCCCTGACCTGGCCCTCTACAAAGTCCCGAGTCCCCATGAGCGAAGGCTTTCAGCCCTGGGCTTGGGAAGTAAGGGCACGCCCCAGGGGGGCTCTGAGGTGGGGGGAAAGCAGGCACATCCATAATTCACGTGCCTGGAGAACCAGAGGGTGGTGGGAATTGTTAGCCTCCATGGCCCTTTCTACTCCCCAAACCCTAACCTCCCTGCTAAGCATTCAGATTTCAGGCTCTGGGGCCAGGAAGCACGTTTAGTGAGAGGGGAGCCGAGGCTGGGGTTTTAGGGGCTCCCTCAGCCACCCAGGGACTCAAGCATCAAGCCAGGAAAGCCCAGGTCTTACCTGAGGGAGATGGAGCCTCGGGGCAGGACCTGCTCCCCTTTCCTGCACAGCCTTAGCCCCCTCCACCTCACTGGCAGGCACCATGAGAGGTCTCCCCATTTACACCCCCATTGACTGGCTGGCTCCCCAACTCCCGGAGAACTGGGTGGGTCTAAGCCTGATGCCTCCCCTCTCCTCAGCAGAGCTGACCTGGTTACTAATTACCCACGAGCTTTATTATTTCTCTTTTGTTTTATAAATTTATAAACGGTAAAAGGCTCTGATAAGGCCTGTGATCATTAACTTGTAAAGATGGCGGCCTGGGGAGGCCTGGGCCAACCAACCTCCTACCCAGCAAGGGCGGGGGGGAAAGGGGTCTGGGGGTTGCAGGGACCGCCCTCCCCAAAGGATCCTAAGCTCCAATCCTAACAGGCCCTTTGCTGAGGTTTCACGTGCATACGGTCTGATAATGTCAAGATGAATGCTGGAAAGGAGCTAGGGATAACTCTGCTTCACAAATAAGGAAACTGAGGCCCAGAGAGGGGAAATAGCTTGACCAAGCCCACCCAGCTGGGACTCCACAGCCACTCTGTTTGGTGCTCTCCATTGCCATGACTGGGCAGTGGGAGGAAGAGCCCCAAAGAAGCGCTCTATGGAACCATCTCTTTTCTGTCCAAGGTCCTGATCCCGCCTTGGGGTGGGGGGAGCCCTCAGGGTCTGCCTGGCCTTGTGAGGGCCTGGGCAGGGGGCAGGGGAGCAGCCAGGGCCCCTTGACATGGCAGGAAGAAGAGGGCAAAGGGCCCTGCTGCGCTGTAGGGGAGGGGCAAAGAGTCAGGCCTTGCCAGACCCAGGGCGAAGCCACAGGGACAGGGTGGGGCTGGACCAGACCTGCTCCGGGCCCCAGATGGGACTGGGGACTTTCGGGTGGGAGTGGGGGCAGGGGGTGCCAAGGGCCTTTCTTACCTGGCTGGGTGGGGCCTCTGGATCAGCAGCCCCTTTGGTGGAATGGTGGGTGGGGGGGAGGCTTCATCCACAGCACTTGAGGGGGGAGCAGAGGTCAAAGTGCTCCCTGGGGACCAGCAGAGACCTGGAAGTTGAGGGAGAGCGAGGAGCCGGAGGAAGAGAGAAAGAGGGCGTGGGGGGCGATGGAGAGGCCTGGATAAGCACAGGAGAGCAGGAGAGCTGGGAGGGCAGAGGGGCTCCTGCCCAGCTGGGAGAAGGGGCTGCGGAGAGAGTGAGACACCCCAAGCTGCAGAGAAGGCTGGAGTGCTTCCCGCCTGCCCCGATTGGGTTTTCTTTAATGCTAACAGCATGCTATTTACTTTCCATTTAAATTTGAGATGTTGCTATAAATTATCAACCAGCTCCTTGTTCCTGCGGAGTTTATAACTAACTACCTGGGTTACTTATTGTTCAGGTAACAAAAGGGACCTGAAAACGCCCGGAGGGGAAAAAAAAAAGCGGGGCCTCTACCCTCAGGGCACAGGAGGGAGTGGGGTGGGCACCCCGATGAAGGCCTGGACAGCCCAGGGTTGGGGAGGTTAAGGCTGGAAAGGATGATGCAGAGGCAGGGTTTCCGTGGACGCCATTTCTTTGGAGAAGACAGTGTGGGAAGAGGCAGGGTGGGTCCTGGGGGCTGCCCCCCTCCCTGGGGTGCCTCGTGCCTGAGGCCAGAGCAGGAACCTGAGCTATTCCCCCAGACCTCCACCCTTAGTTCACTGTGTGACCCTGGGCAAGTCTCTTCTGCCTCAGTTTCCCTAGCTGGCTAATGAATAAAATTCAAATTCCCTGCCCTGGTTCCCCGACCTCTTCTTGAGGGACCTCTGTCCCTCACTCACTTTCCTCCAGTTACACTGAATTTGCTGATTCCCACTTCAGGGCCTTTGCATGTACTGCTCCTTCTGCCTGGACACTTCTTTCCAGATCTTCCTGTGACCCATTCCCTCTCCTCCTTTTGCTCAAATGTCACCGCCTCAGGGAGGCCCTCCCTCACTGCCCCCATCTAAATGTAGTTCCCCCCAGAGTCACTCTCTTCCACTACCTTCTGTTACTTTCTCTTGTCTCTTAACTTTACTTATGATTATCTGTTTTTGTCCGTTTTCTATCTCCTGCCATGAAAACAGAAGCTTTTCAAAGGGAAGGCCAGCATGGCCTTGTTCACCACTCGTATCTCTGATATCCAGCCCAGTGGCTCAAAGACAGCATGAATGAATGAGGGTTCCTTAGACATGCTGTTATGGCCAAGGGAGGAACCTGTACCCAGGGTTCCTTCCTGGGTGTCCTCCTGGGTCCTCTCTGTCCCCAAGCAGCTCAAACCTCAACCTGAGGGTCTCTAATGCTCTCCGTCAGGCACCCCCAGGGCATTGAGACCCAGGAAGACAGTGGGCAAAGTGGGACAGTCTAACATCCCTGACTGAGGCCAACCTGCCTGGGTTCAAATCCCAACTCAGCCCCACCCTAATTCCGGCAGGTGATTTCATGTCTCTGAGCCCTGGTTTTGCCAGCAAGGCAGAGATGATGATAACACTTACCCACAGGGTTAAATAGCTTATAAGTGCAGTAAATGGTTGCTATGAGTAATAGTCCCATTTTACAGATCGGCAAACTAAGGCTCAGAGAGGCAAAGTGACTTGCCCAAGGCAATTTACAAAGTAGTAAGGCTGGGACTTGGACCCAGGTCCTCCAAATCCCATATTCTGCACAGCATCCTTGAGGCTACGTGCTGTCCTCGATCTGTTTATTTCCCTTTTTATCCTCCGGGGTCATTCTTGCTGTTAACCTCACATGCACTCATTTCCATGCGGTGCTCTAAGAGCTCACGGGACTGCTTACAAAGGCGTTAAACTCGTTTTCTCCTCCTGGCAGCCTACGAAACATTTTAGCCCTGTATTACAGTTGGGGAAACTGAGGCACACAGAAGTTAAGCTATTTCCCAAGGCCACCTGGATAGTAAGTGGCAGAGCTGGGATTCAACCTGGGAAGGGAAGCTTCTCCGCCCCACCCCACCCACCATGCACTGAGAATTCCACTCCCCCCTCCAGACATGTGGCCCTTCCGGCTGGTCTCTGAGCTCCATAGCCTTGGACCCTCTGAAACCCCAGGGGCCAGCGAGCCAGAGGCCCAAAGTCTTGAACCTCTGACCCACCCCTCCCAGAACCCATAGGATGTAGGAGGAGATGTGGGCACCTCTCCTGGGCCCTTTTCCCTCTGCTGCAGGGCTGAGGGTCCCATGGCTACATCATCCATGATGATGATGATGAGGACGGTGACAAATTGTTGTACTTACTGAGCACTTACCATGTACCAGGACCTGCTCTATGCGGTTCACTCCTATTTGAAAGTCAGTCCTCCCAGGGGCCCTGTGAGGCAGGCGTGGGCTTACTGCCGCGGTACGGAAGGGCATGGGGCATGCACACGGGAGGCGCTAGGGCGCCATGCCGGGATGTGAACCCAGGCTGGCTTGACTCTTAAACCCATTGGAGGGAAAGCAGGAGATACCTGGAGACGTGGCCTTCTAGTTCTGGGTTGGGGAAACTATCCTGGAAAGAGTCAGGTCCCTGGAGACTGAGGGTGAGTGAGTGAGTGAGTGTGGTTGGGAGTGGGTGGGAGAAAGAGACAGAGCGAACAACAGAGACACACACACAGAAGGAGAGACAGAGAGAAAGAGAGAGAGGGAGAGAGCCAGGCAGAGAGAAACCAAGACACACAGAGAGAAAGACACATGGAGTCAAATGGACAGTGACAGGACAGTGAATCTTCAGTTTGAGCCAGGGAGGCCTGGCTGAGAGGAAGACTGAGCTCATTCTCTCCCTCCAGGGAAGGGAGAAGGGAGGGAGGGAGGATTGCTCAGGAGGGTGAGGCCTGCAGCTGGGGGAGAAGGGAGGCCATCAGGCAGCCCGGCTCCAGAATCAGATAAACATGTTTGCCACGAAGCACAAGGCTGGACTTTGTACTGCCCTTCCCTCCAGGCTCTGACTGGCACCTGGGGAGCAGGGGAAGAGTGGAGGAGGAGCCTAGAAGCCCCTAGATGCAGGGAGGAAGCAGAGCTCGCTCAGGGAGGGCTCTGGGGGATCCGGGCAAAGCGAAATATTCTGGAGTCCCAGCTAGGTCACTTTGGACAAGTGCTCACCTTTCTGAGGCTCAGTTTTCCCATCTGTGAAAATGGGCATATGAGTAGCACCTACTTCCTAGGGTTATGGTAAGATTTACATGGCCCGCCCTTAGCACAGTGCCCGGTTCATGGTAAATACTCAAGAAACATGAATTCTCACATCTAGCATTTTTACACAACTGGGATCTTGCCGTACCGATTGCTGACCAATTCAAATTGAACTCTCCCCGCCTCCCTTTCCTCCCTACGTGTATGGGAACCGCTGATAAAAAGGAGGGAGTCACGGGGCCCAAGCTGCTGAAAGGCTCTGTGCCTTCACCCCAAGAAGGGCACTGTCAAGGAGGGCAAGACCAGGCTGGCCCCTTGGGAAGGACAGAAGGGGAGAAGACAGTATGGGGTAGGCTTCAAAGTGCTGGGGGTTTCTTTGCTTTTTGGTTTTTTTCGCAGTTGAGTTTTCAATGTTCTGTAGGCATGTATAGCATATTATCTAACATTATATTACATTATTTGAAAAGCACAGAAAAGTAACAGAGGACACGGTCCCTCTCCCCGTCCCCAGCACCCCATTCCCGTCTTGAAACAACCGATGTCGCTCGTCTCTTCTGTGTTCTGGTATTTCATGCAAACACAAGCAAATACACAGGACCCTTTTGTGCCATTTCAGATTTTACACAAACAGCACAGCAGACCCACCGGACTGTTCCGTGTGGGCGCGGGCAGAGCTGCCTCAGTGCGTTTTTACGGCTGCGTCCGCTCGAGGCACCACCAACCGTACCCTTCTGCCCGGCACCCAGGTCGTTTCCGATATTTTGCTGCGGCAAGCAACAAGGCGACCAGCTGCCCCCCGGCACACGTGCAAAGGCTGGAAAGCTCAAATTCTTAGAAGCAAATTGCTCAAAGGGGTGAGGACCTCAGGCTTTGGAACCACTTGGAGCTGGGTTCAAACCCCAGCTCGGCCTGTTCTCGGCACTGTTGTATCGAGCTGCTTTTATCCGTCACCGTATTTGTAATACAAGCTCAGGAGAGGACCAGGGCAGGAGAGGAGGGTTGAGACAGAACAGGAGAGGGAGACAATTTGTGTGGTACAGGGCCTCAGGCCTCCTCCGTCCCCCAGTGAGCAGAGGATGGCTGCAGGTCCCTTGAGTCTCTCCAGTGAGAATCTCAGCCCACAGAGTGCAATTGGGGGGGCTCAAACACACACACACACTTTTTTTGTACGAAGCCCCGAATACCAGCCCGTAAGTCCTTCACCTGGACCTGCCTGCCCCCGTGCTGTAGGGAAACTGGCCAGGACACAGCCTAGGGTTTAGTGTAGATTATCAGGAGGTGTTTTGACTCTGTGATTTTTACCTGATAGGTTGACTTAGAATGGGATCCCTCCAGGGACGGGACTCTGCTGGGCTGGCTCTGTGACCTTGGGTGGAAGATTTGACACAAGCACTCTTAGCCTCAGTGGCCCTGGCTGTAAAGTGAGAGAATCATGTTTCTCTCCTTGTTTTCAGACCCATTTTTTCCCCAGTAGGTCCCCTTCATCCATCCATCCATCCACCCATACCCCTATTCACCTATCCATCCACCCTCCCATCCATTCATCCAACCACCCATCCATCCATCTACCATCTATTTATCCTTCTATCCATCCATCCACCATCCCATTTACCCACCTATCTCCCCATCCCTTTATCAACCTACCCTCCCATCCATTCATCCACCCACCCATCTATACATTCCCCTACCCACCTACCCCTCCCACCCATTCATCCACCCACCCATCCACCATCCCATTTACCCACCTATCTCCCCATCCCTTTATCAACCTACCCTCCCATCCATTCATCCACCCACCCATCTATACATTCCCCTACCCACCTACCCCTCCCACCCATTCATCCACCCACCCATCCACCATCCCATTTACCCACCTATCTCCCCATCCCTTTATCAACCTACCCTCCCATCCATTCATCCACCCACCCATCCACCATCCCATTTACCCATCCACCCATCCACTCATTCACTGATGCATTCACCACGGACACACATTATGTCGGGCCTACTCTGGGTGCTGAGAACCCGACAGTTCCTGCCCTCACAGTGTTTACCGTCTCTCACAGTGGATAAGACATAGCCACAAATAACATTTCCAGGTAGGATGAGGGAAGGATCTTTAACGGAGGCACAAGGGTGAGGACCTTCCCTATCTGGCTTGTAGGGCTTCGGGTGGGCGTCTGTTCATGTCTTCATGTCTGTCCATGCGTCCCGGCATGAGTGCCTTTACCTTGCTATCCCGGAGTCCGAGTGTCCGTCCTGGGCTCCACACCGGCTTCCACCCACAATCCCCACTCTCAGGGCTGACAGGACCCCCAGCCCTGCCTGCACCCCCCCGCACCCCCCGCGCTGAGCAGCCTCTGTCCTTGCCCTCCTCCTAGGGAGGACCCATGGCGCGTGGCCAAGATGGTCAAGTCCTACCTGCAGCAGCACAACATCCCGCAGAGGGAGGTCGTGGACACCACTGGCCTCAACCAGTCGCACCTGTCCCAGCACCTCAACAAGGGCACCCCCATGAAGACGCAGAAGCGGGCCGCCCTGTACACCTGGTATGTCCGCAAGCAGCGAGAGGTGGCCCAGCGTAAGTAATGAGCACAGCCCCATCCTCCTGGCAGGGCCCTGGAACTCTCTGCAGCTCGGGGGTCGGGGGGAAGCTTCTCCCATGTTACCGGGACAGGTTGCCCGAGAGGAAGTCAGCAGGATTCAGTGGGCACGTATTTCCTATTCTGCACAAGGCACTCTGGGGGAGGGGGGGAGGCTGGTCCTGGGCATCTGGAGATGGATGAATTGGGTCCCTGCCTTCTAGGAGCTCTGGGTAGGAGAACAGATCATTATGCTGCAGCGAGAAATGGATTATAATACAATGAAAACAAGAGTAACAGCTAGTGTTTACGGAGCGCCCAGGGCAGCGTAGTACCACGTCAAGTATTTCAAAATATTAAGCTGGCAGAGGACCAGAGAGTAATCTATTCTTCCACAGGGAGGCAAGGGCATCAGAAAGGACCACACCAGGAGAACTTTCAGACTAAGTCTTAAAGTCTGAGTGGAATTTTGGCTCATGGAAACAACAGGGAAGGGTGTTTTGGGCAGAGGGAGTGGCCTGAGTAAAGGCTCAGAGGCAAGGTGTATGCTCAGGGAATCCTTCACTGAAAGCCCCGGGAGACCTGGCCACACTATTGTTCAGGGAATGGTGGGTTTCCTTACTCAGACCTCACACCCCACAAAATCCCAAGTGCACTCTCACTTTTTAGCCTATGTGTAAAAAAATTTTTTTTTAAAAGATTTTATTTATTTGTGAGAGAGAGAGAGTGCGTGCACAAGCAGGGGGGAGTGGAAGGAGGAGACTCCCCGCTGAGCAAGGAGCCTGATGCAGGACTCATCCCAGGACCGTGGGATCATGACCTGAGCTGAAGGCAGATGCTTGACCCACTGAGCCACCCAGGTGTCCCTAAAATTTTTTTTTTAATTTCTTTTATTAATTATCTGCTTTTTAAAAAAGGTACTACATACTAGTTTTAAAAAATAGGGGAAAATAAATAAAGAGTTTACAATAGAAATTAGGTGTCCTCCAATGGACATTCCTAGTCTCATGCATCCTTCCAGAGATACTTTATGCATACACTACAATATATAATATATATATTTTTTCCTCTATTCTTTGAAGGGCTGCTAGCTGTTCTGTTATTTGGAGGTACCATTATTTGTTTAACTGGTTCGCTACCAAAGGACTTTTAGGGTTTTTCCAACGTGCTGTTAGAACCAACTGCTTCAAAGAACATCCCTCTTTGTATTATGTGCTCACATGAGACTGTCTGTAAAGTAATTCCTAGAAGTGGAATTCTGGGTCAGAGTAGGTACTTTAAAATCTTTGACAGATATTCCTGTAGCTCCTTATGAAGACACGGTGACAATGTGCATGTCTGGCAATTAAAAAAATAAACTTTTTTCCCCATGCTTCCTAAAAATATATTAAAATGTTAAAGTCCTCAAATTCACATACTGGTTTGCTCACTCATTTAATATTTACTTATTTACTTATCCATTTTTACAAGCTGAAAAGTTGCTTTTTTTTCAAGCTGGGAAGTTTATTAAAGTGAAAAGTACACTCTTGAGATATGAGAGCAGGTGAGCTTGAGAGAGAGCAAGCTACACCTCATTTAATATTTATTTGTTTATTTATTACTTTTTAAAGATTTTATTTTTAAGTCATCTCCACACCCAAGGTGGGGCTCAAATTTACAACCCTGAGATCAAGAGTCACACGTTCCACTGACTGAGCCAGCCAAGCGCCCCACCTCATTTTATATTTATTGAGCATCTACTATTTACCATTTTCTGTTGAACACAAAAAAAGCAGCTTTTAAAAGCTGTGATGATCATTTATATAACTTATCTTTTAAAACTATGACATTGCTAGGGGCACCTGGGTGGTTCAGGCGGTTAAGCATCTGACTCTTGATTTTGGCTCAGGCCATGATCTCGGGGTCATGAGATCCAGCCCCGCTTCAGGCTCTGTGATGGGCGTGGAACCTGCTTAACATTCCCTCTCAGATCTCCCTCTGTCTAGCCCCCCAAAACTATGATATTGGTCTTATCAAGGGGCTGATTAAAACATTAAGTTAATTGGATTGCCTGGGTGGCTCAGTCGGTTGAGTGTCCAACTCATGTTTTCAACTCAGGTCCTGATCTCAGGGTCCTGGGATCGAGCCCTGCATTGGGCTCTGTGCTCGGCGTGGAGTCTGCTTGAGATTCCCTCTGCCCCTCCCCCTGCTTGCGCACACTCTCTCTCTCTAAAATAAATAAATGAATATAATCTTTTTTTTTTTAACATTTTATTTATTTATTTGACAGAGAGAGAGCGAGCGAGAGCAGGAACACAAGCAGGGGGAGTGGGAGAGAGAGAGCAGGCTTCCCGCTGAGCAGGGAGCCCGATGTGGGGCTCCATCCCAGGACCCTGGGACCATGACCTGAGCCGAAGGCAGACGCTTAATGACTGAGCCACCCAGGAGCCCAAATGAATAAAATCTTTAAAAAAAAAAAACCACCACCAAAAAACCCCATTAGGTTAATTAACATGTACCGAGCAATCACTATGGTAAAGTGTTAATATTTTCTTACAAGGATGATCGCTGATTGCTTATTCGTGCAGAAATAGCAACACACACTGATGCCCAAGGAGCCAGCAGCCCCACCACCTGTACCCGACGGGCATCCTTTGGGTCTCCGGTGGCTGGGACTGTATATGACCTACTTCGAAAGCACTATCACTAAGTGTTTTTAGAAAACTAGCATGGCTTTAATTTACCCTTCTTAGCAGGTAAAACTTAACACATAATAAGCTCTTAATTTTAGAGTAAGTGTAGACTTTTGGAACTTCTGGGCAGGTAGTACAGAGAAATCCAGTTTACCCCAGACCCAGTCTTCCCTATTATTTACACAAGTATGGGACATTTGTCACAATTAACAAACCAACACTGTCACACTATTATTAAGTCCGTACTTACTTTATTATTCAGATTTCCTCAGTTTTTCCCTAATGTCCTTTTTCTGGTCCAAGATCCCATCCAGGTGTGGACATACTGCATTTCGTTGCCATGTCGCCTTAGGTTTCTCTGGCTTGTGACAGTTTCTCAGACTTTCCTTGTTTTTGACAGCCTTGACAGGATAATCTTTTTTTTTTTTTTTAAGCTGAAATATTTTAGTTTTCTGGGCCAAGTCACAGTGTCTGGTACTCCAGATCTTGGTCCAGCCTGCTGCCAGGTGAGATGGCCAACTGAGTCAGTGAGTGGCCACCTGCGCCTCAGCTGCTGAGAATGTTGGAATCTGAGTCAAGCGGGCTTCTAGCGGCTTCTAGGGTTGGCTTTCGGTGGGTCTAAGCCCACGTCTCCCCAGAGCACTGGTGCTGGCTTTGCCTCTTGGCACTTGGATGGTGAAGGCACAGAATCTGCACTATCTCTGACTCACTCTCCCTGCCTCCCCTCCCGTAAAGATGGCTTTGCATTTATCTGTTCTAGTCTCTTGGTTGCTTGCTCAGGGAGAATCTAAGAGTTTCCATTAAAGTGGAACTAGCTGACAAGGGCTGGCTGGGTCTCTCCTCTCCTGGCTAATGCTTGCATTTTAAGTGTGATTTACAGGTCTGCAAAGTTTAAAATAGCTCTGAATCTACTCAAGAGATGTGGCTCGAGTTTCTGTTCTACTGTGCAGCCCTGGAAAGATATTCAGCCTCTCTAAGCCTCAGCTTCTTCATCTGTAAAATAAGATAGCAAATGTGTTAAATCCGAATGAACGCTAATGCTTTCCTGGAGACTTACATTGAGAAGGATTATGAGCTTCCATCTTGGCGCACTAGAAAAACTGTGCAGCGGTTGATTAGCGATGTCTGCCTGGGGCACAGGTTAAGACAGGGGTGGCACGTGTGCTGTGTGTTTGTCATCACTGGATTAGATGATTTCTAAGTCCTAGCTGTAAGTGCCTCCTGGCTCAACAGCTTGGGACTGGGAAAGAATCAGGAGCATGGTCAGATGAACTGAAGTGGGAAGGTGGGAGTGGCCAGTGCCCGCTTACGGCTCTCTGTGTGTGCCTACAGAGTTCACCCACGCAGGGCAGGGCGGGCTGATTGAAGAGCCCACAGGTGATGAGCTGCCAACCAAGAAGGGGCGGAGGAACCGTTTCAAGTGGGGCCCAGCCTCCCAGCAGATCCTGTTCCAGGCGTATGAGAGACAGAAGAACCCCAGCAAGGAGGAGCGAGAGGCATTGGTGGAGGAGTGCAATAGGTACAATGGTTGGTGGGTCAGCAGGGCTGGTTTGGTCTGGGCTGGGGCAAGGCTGGGGGACAGTGGCTCTGGGTTCTGAGGGAGGCTCCCCAGTCCTTGAGTGCTCCTGCTGTTGGCCCAGGAGCACTCAAATCCCGCTCAGCGTCTGGAACCTAGCTCCATTCCTAGCACCCACTCCCCACCCATCCAGGCAATCCTTGAGTGGCTGCTCATCCCATTCACCCTCATTACGACCCTACGACTATTTTGTCCACTTATGAATGGAGAGGCTAAGAGAGGTTAAGACACTTGCTCAAGGTCACACAGCAGCACTGGGATTGGAACCCAGATCTGCCAGCTTTACACACTAAGGGGGAAGCCTACATCAGAACTCTCTCCCCTACCTCCAGCCCCGGGAGGGGTTCCTCTGAGCCTGGCCTGGAGGCTCACGAGTGGCCATTTCTGCAGGGCGGAGTGCATCCAGAGGGGGGTGTCGCCATCGCAGGCACAGGGACTGGGCTCTAACCTCGTCACGGAGGTGCGTGTCTACAACTGGTTTGCCAATCGGCGCAAGGAAGAAGCTTTCCGTCACAAGCTGGCCATGGACACATACAGCGGGCCGCCCCCGGGGCCAGGCCCGGGCCCCGCCCTGCCTGCCCACAGCTCCCCGGGCTTGCCCCCACCCGCCCTCTCCCCCAGTAAGGTCCACGGTGAGTGCTATGTGGCGGGGCCCACTTTGAAATAGTGGGTAGAGGGGGCAAGAGGGTAGGCTGGGGAGCTGGGGAGCACCACGCCAGTGGCAGTAACCACCCAAACCTCTTGGCACTTCAGCTTGGTTCCTTATCACTCCCCTCTACTCATTACCCTCCTCGATCCAGTCCTCTCCTCTCCACCCCAGTGACCACACCATGCCATTCAATCCAGCCTAACTTGACTCAGGTCACTTCCATTCAATTCATTCATTTAAGATCAACTCAACTCAACTCATTTCAGTTCAGTTCAATTCGATTCAATTCCACTCTGTGCAACTCACTATAATCCAACTGAGTTCCTTTCAATTCTACTCGGTCCAGCTAAATATCATCCAAGGAAATTAATTTTGTATGGCTCAGTTCAGTTCAATCCAATTCGATTTGATCCGATTCGGTTCAACTCCATCATGCTCGATCTACTTCAATTCATTTCAGGTTCAGTTCAACTAGATTCCAGTTCATTTAACTAATTCCGGTTCCTTCTACTCAACTCTGTTCACTGCAATTTCATTTCATCAGTTTTAGTTCATTTTGACCCAGAGGTCTTTCATTGCACACCTACTGCCTATCACGTATAGCTCTGGCCAGTGGGGGCCATGGAGCTAATAAAATGCAGGTCTTGCCTTCAGGGAGTTGGAAGCAGCCAGCCCAGGACCTGGCAGGAGGATGCTCAAGTGAAGTTTGCTGGGGCAAAGATGGGGCAAGTGAGCAAACTGAGGCAGTTGGGAGTGATGAGGGCCGCGGAGGGCAGGGAAGTGGGGTGCTGAGGCTGGACGCGGCCCCCATTCCAGGTGTGCGCTATGGACAGCCAGCAACCAGCGAGGGGGCGGAAGTGCCCTCAAGCAGTGGTGGTCCCTTGGTGACAGTGTCTGCGCCCCTGCACCAAGTGTCCCCCACGGGCCTGGAGCCCAGTCACAGCCTGTTGAGCACCGAAGCCAAGCTGGTGAGTGTCCCCACACCCCGCAGGTGGGGAAGACCCGTCCAACCCCATCTTCTACCTTCCCTTGGCTGGGAGATTCTGGAGTGGTCCCCAGGGAGACTATGGGGCCCCACTCAGACTCAGCTTGGTTTCCCCTCCAAGGTCTCAGCAACTGGGGGCCCTCTGCCCCCTGTTAGCACCCTGACAGCACTGCACAGCTTGGAGCAGACCTCCCCAGGCCTCAACCAACAGCCCCAGAATCTCATCATGGCGTCGCTTCCTGGGGTCATGGCCATTGGGCCTGGCGAGCCTGCCTCCCTGGGCCCCACGTTCACCAACACAGGTGCCTCCACCCTGGTTATTGGTAAGTTGGTGGGCATGGGGGGGGCACCTGGGTGGGAGGGCTCCCGGGCTCCCACAGAATCCAGAAGCTGGAGGAGCCACTGGGGCTCATTCATTCGCAGACTTACTGAGTGCGTGCACTATGCTCCCTCAGTGATACACAAGTGAACCAAACAGACCAAAATCTCAACGACTCCAGTGGGGAGGCAGACAGCAAACACAACACACACATTATAGAGTGTCTTGGAAGGCAAAATATCTATGGGAAAACTGAGCAGGGGAAGGGAGATCAAAATCTTGTAGGTTTTGGGGTTTTTTATCCTATTTTTTTTTAAGCCCAGAAAGACTTTATTTGCAGGAAACTTCATGCAGAGGCTGAGTATGTAAGACAGACAGGGAGCTACTGGGAGAGGGGTTAGAGGCTCAGAGAGGGGGAGTGACTTGCCAAGACCACGTAAGTTAGAGACGGGTCCTAGTGCAAAGGTGTGTGTCCTGGTCGCTTCTCCCGTCCTCCCACCCACTGGCTCTGGGAGGGAGGGACAGTGCCCCGGGGTCAGTGCTGGGCCAGGTGGTAGGAGGCTGGACTGACTCTTGTTCCCCCCACCCCAGGCCTGGCCTCCACTCAGGCACAGAGCGTGCCGGTCATCAACAGCATGGGCAGCAGCCTGACCACCCTGCAGCCAGTCCAGTTCTCCCAGCCACTGCACCCGTCCTACCAGCAGCCACTCATGCCCCCCATGCAGAGCCATGTGGCCCAGAGCCCCTTCATGGCCACCATGGCCCAGCTGCAGAGCCCCCACGGTGAGCACCCCTAGCCCCACGCTGGGGGAGGGGGTGGGAGAGGCTGGGTGTCCATGGAGCAGACGGGGCGGTCTGCAGGGGCTCAGATGTGTGCCTGCGGGCCAGAATGTGTGTCAGCGTGTGAATAGGTGTGGCCGTGTGCGCACACGAGTTTCTGGGAGTGGATGTGCGTGTGGGTGTTCATCGGTGTTTGCAGGTGCACACCCACGTGTGGGAGGAAGGTCATAGGCCTTCCTCTGAAACGCGTGGGGCTGCGTGTGTCTCAGACTCCACTACTTCTCTGACTTTAGAAAAAGGTGATATGGGGTATCAACAGTCTACTCTAGCACACTCCCGGCAGGGCTCGGGGCAGCATCCTGTCATCTAAGCCCTGGGATTTCTGCAGCAGGAGGGAGAATGCCACGGACTGGGTTAATAGACTTCCATAACCTCATTATCAGGTTCCGGTCAGTTTGCTACCAAACGAGCTCCAACCACATCTGTTGGTTTTCAGACCTTTTTGGAATTTGGAACTGGGGGTAAGGGCCCGTGGGCCTGTGTATCTGTGTGGGTTTGCCTGAGGGCCCGTACTTGCGTGTGTATGGTTTTATCTGAGTCGATGTGCGAATATGTGGTTTATGTGCTTTTCTGCTGGTGCCTGTGTGTGCTGTGGGGCTGGGCTGTAGATGAAACTCCGGGTTACGTTTCGGAGGTGTCCTGGAGGGGGAGCTCTGCTGGCCCCTGCTCTGCACACACACACCCCCCACCCCGCCCCGCGGCCTGTAATTAGCATGGCAGCGCTGGTCTCCCACTGCCCTTCGCACTGGTCATCCCTGGGCAGTGCGTGTGGGTGCCTGGGCCTCCCCAGCCTTCCCTCCACCAAGCCAGCCTGAGCAGGCTCTTGTAGTTGGGGCGAGGGTCTAGCCCCTCTATCTGGAGTGCCCAGCTTTGGAAATCTGTCCTGAGTCCTCAACCACTGCTCCATCGGGCCATTTACCAGGCCCCATGCCCCACTTCCCCCGGAGCTCCCAGCTTTGAGGCCCCCTTGGGAGGGGTCCAGCCTGGCCCGGGGTGCCATGTCTTTATATCCACCTCTCTCCTCCCTCCTGGCCAGCCCTCTACAGCCACAAGCCTGAGGTGGCCCAGTACACCCACACGGGCCTGCTTCCGCAGACCATGCTCATCACCGACACCACCAACCTGAGTGCCCTGGCCAGCCTCACTCCCACCAAGCAGGTAAGGCCCAGGGCCGCCTGGCCCCTTGCTCAGGCCACTTCCCAGAGTGCACCCATGTGGGGCTCAGGAGGCTGCTCTGCTCCCCCAGGTCTTCACCTCAGACACTGAAGCCTCCAGTGAGTCTGGGCTTCATACGCCGGCGTCTCAGACCACCACCATCCACATCCCCAGCCAGGACCCTGCAGGCATCCAGCACCTGCAGCCTGCCCACCGGCTCAGCGCCAGCCCCACCGGTGAGCAGCCTTTCCCTGCTCCCTCGGTTGGGGAGGAAGGTGTGCCACAAACGGGAGGGCACCCTGGTTTCCCCTGAACTGAGCCAAGAGGGGTACGAAACCACAGGAAAATGGGCCTATCTTACACGATTAGCTCATTGACTTGGTTGAGGAAAAAGATTAAGTAACTGCAAGAGAGAGGAGAGGGTGCTAGCGAGGAGTACGCCGGGCCTGCCGTGGGCCAGAAGGGGCTCACAGGCGTGTTCGTTTGGCTCAGGGCTTGGCACTGGTTGAGTATGTTGCCCACGTTTAAAAACCAGCTTTCACAAAGAAATCGTAGTTTCTGGCTTTTCTTGGAAAATTGGAGACTCGTGTTCCCACGTAGCAACAGAGTGTGGGCTCTCCAGGTCACCCCATCCCCCTTGACCCATTCGTTTCCATCCCCTGATGCCCCAAGTCTGCAATAATCAAGAGTGGGCGCTTGGGAGTCGGGCTGCTGGGCTCTGAGGCTGCACGCGATCACTTGTTACGTGGGAGACTTCGGGCGGCTGCTTCCCGCCTCCCCCTCCCCCCAGCCCCCTCTGTGAGCCTCAGGTTCCTCCATCCAGCCCTGGAGGCTGCGGGGACAGTTACTGAGGCCTCCACAGGGCCAGGCTCCATGCTTTCTCCACCGGGTACGGGTCATCATCCCCATTTTACAAATGAGAACGCAGACACTCAAGAGCTGTGGGACTTGGCCTTGCCTCCGACAGTGACTAGGCCGCAGGGCCAGGATTTGAACCCAGGTCCAAAATCAAAGCCCATTCTCTTAGCCATCGTAATCAGTCAGGGTTCTGGTGAGACACAGAACCAACAGGAATGCAGCTGGCCCCTGAGCAACACGGGGTTTGAATGGCACGGGTCCGCTTAGACCCCGATAGTTTTCGATACAGCACAGGACTGTAAGTGTATTTTCTCTTCCTTATGACGTTCTCGATAACTTTTTCTTTTCTCTAGCTTTAAGAATACAGTGTATAATACCTAGAACATACAAAGTATGTGCTGACTGTTTAGGTTATTGGTACAGCTCTGGGTCAACAGTAGGCTGTTAGAGTAGTTGAGTTTTTGCGGAGTCAGAAGTTCTATGCAGATTTGTGATTGTGCAGGGGGTCAGTGCCCCCAGCCCCCCTGCACCGTTCAAGGGTCAACTACATATATACACGTGTATTTAAGGAACTGGCTCACACGCCTGTGGGGCTGGTAGGTCTGAAAGCTGTAGGGCAGGTCAGCAAGCTGACAACAGAGGCAGTTTGGAGGCAGGATTCCTTTTTCTCTAGGAAACCTCAGCTTTTGCTCCTAAAGCCTTCAACTGACTAGATGAGACCCACTCATGTCATCAAGAGAAAGCTCCGTTACTTCCAGTCAGCCGATTTTAGGTGTTAACCACAGCTACAAAGCACCTCCACGGCCACACTTAAATGTTTGGTTTAGTGCCTGTCCTACAGCCTAGCAACCCTGATGCATGAAACTAACCACGCCGTCTCACCAGGGCCTCTCGAATGTTTCCACCAAAAAGCCCAGAGGCGGCCACTCCCTGGGTGGCTGCAGAGCCTGGCTGGGGGGGTTGATGAGACCCAAACACAGGTTTGGTTTTGGGGTCTCGTTATCTGCTGCAGTTCGGGGGGTGGCGAGGCCCCGTGTCCCCTATGCCAAGTACCCCTTGGGGGGGTGCGCGAGGCGGGGTCGGGGAGGGCTGGGCCGGCAGCCAGCTGTCTCACTTACCCCTGCAGTGCCCTCCAGCAGCCTGGTGTTGTACCAGAGCTCCGACTCCAACAATGGCCACAGCCACCTGCTGCCATCCAACCACAGCGTCATCGAGACCTTCATTTCCACGCAGATGGCTTCATCCTCCCAGTAACCATGGCAACCGCCTCCCAGGGGCTGGGCCCTGCCTGGAGCCTGCATGGCCTGCTTGGGGGGTGACTGGGACATCTGAGCCTGTGAAACTTTCACTGCCACAGGATAGCGGCCTTCCCTGGAAAACTGTGCCTCGGTCCCCACGCTGCTCTGTCAGCGTCAGAAAGGGTTCCAAGGCTCTCCGACCTCCGGAGGGACCATTCCTGATGCTCAGGGTCAATTTTGTCACTTGGAATAGAAGGGAGCAGCCTTTGGACTCTGGTGCCTCCAGCCTGTGCCTGTGGAGAGCCCCAGAACCCCCAAGGGAACCGCACTTCTCAGGACACGAGGCTATACAGCCGTGACTCACTGAGCTCCGAGAGGCCCAGGGTCAACATGGCCCCATTCTGTCCCCTGTGTCCTGACCAGGCCCCTCCCCTCTGCTCCCCTTCCAGCTGTAAACCCACATGCCCATTTGTACCAACCCCTGTCCCCCAATCACATGAGCTTTCCCCAAGTGGCTACTGTGTGCTGGAGCCTGGGGCTCAAAGAGGCCCACGCCCTGCAAGAGCTCAAGCTAGCAGTGAAGGCACGCAGGGCTCTCCAGCTTCTCTCGTCCTGGGCCCTCTCTCCCCCTGGCTTCCAAGATGGCCAGTTTTCTTGGCCATTCGTCTCCCGGGGTATCACACCTTCTCATGCCAGCCTGCCATCTTGCCTCTATGGGAAAGCCCCCCTCAGGGCTAAGGAGTCATCCCTGCCCCATGGGAGCCTTGTGACTGCGCCTGGTGCTTGTCAGGATTCTGGGCAACAGCGCCTCTGGCCTGTGGGGCCTTGCGGCCCCTCCCTGGTTTGGGGGAGAAGCTGCTGAGCTCAGAAGGCACCAAGGCCTCAGCACGTGGCAGAGCTGAGGTGCCCAGAGGGAAGAGGGAAAGGTCCAGGCAGTTCACAGCCACACCCTAGAGCCTGAGGTCCCAAGTGCCACCAGGAGAGACAAGGCAGCTGTGTAAACCCAGGGCTCCACGACCTCCTCTCCCTGGGGCTGCTGCAGATCACCTGGCCTTGTGGACCACTCCCACCCTGGGACTTAGGACTGGGGCCAGGGAAGAACCAGTGCCCCCTGCAGCTTGCAGCCAGCTAAGGGCGAACCTGTACATTTATTTAACTTTTAGTAAAGGAAATGAGGAACGGAGTATTGGAAATGAGTACTGGAAACTTTTTGCTTGTCCACACATTGCCCAGATGGGGTTGGGCGGGCAGACGGAGGCGGAGGTGGGCCAGGGGCCTGAGGGGAGATGGGTCAGCACACACACTCTCACGTCCCACCTCTGTCTTTCTTGCTCTGCCAAACCTTGGAGGTAAGGCCACGAAGCCAGAATTTCACCTTAACCCTGAGCTTCTCCTCTTCCCGGCAGAACACTCCTGGTGTGTGAAACCCCATTCATAAGTGCTGTGATACTTCCTGAAGTCTTGAGACTGGGGTGCAGGAACACACCCTGGGGTGTAGACAGGAGGACACCACCGATGTGATGTTTATTTCAACTGTCTCATCAAGATTCAGCACTGATACTGGAGACATCACCCCGATCACTTTGTTAAGTTTGGGGTCTCTCGACAATTTATTTTCAATAATCTGGTTGGCTCAGAGACATGATCGTGCATGGTATATTCACAAATGTGGAGAAAAAAAATTCTGGAAACCCGGGGGGGATAAAATCTCTCTCCTTTTTTTTTTTTTTTTTTTTTTCTTTTTTAAGATTTTTTATTTATTTATTTATTTATTTGAGAGAGAGAGTGAGAGAGAGCACATGAGAGGGGGGAGGGCCAGAGGGAGAAGCAGACTCCCCGCCGAGCAGGGAGCCCGATGCGGGACTCGATCCCGGGACTCCAGGATCATGACCTGAGCCGAAGGCAGTCGCTTAACCGACTGAGCCACCCAGGCGCCCCTCTCTCTCCTTTTTCAGACAAGGTTATATCAAGTCCGTGTGGCCTGGAGACAGAAGTACAAAACTCCTTCTGGGCCAACTCCTTCCCTCAATTTCTTAAGGTTGTCTCCCACACCAGGTTGAGAAGGTGGAGGGAAGGAAAAGCTCTCCCTTCACTCGCTCTCCTCAGTCCTGGGAAGACAGAAGCTTTACCACTTGATCAACAGTATTGAATAACTGGATGGCTCCTTTTTCCTGAGGCCATGGAATGTGCTGGTACCACAGATCTGCCCCAGCCCCCAATGGGAGCCTGGATGGGCAGGCCTTGATTAGTCTTCTCATCCTACAGCCGTCTTTGTCCTGACCCGTGGGCAAGCCCCAATCATGGGCCAAGTATGGACTTGCCAGCCAAGTCCTTGAACTTGGAGAGGGAGGTGGGGCTTGGAAATGCCTTGTCCCTGGCGGGCACCTTGTCCTCAGGACTAGCTGAGCCTTGTGCCCGTGGGCAGGGATCAATTGGCAGGCATGGCCACTGCACTCTTTGTTGGTGGGAATGGGGAAGCCTCATTGGCCTTCTTGGCTTTTTTCTTCCTTCTCTTCTTTTTGGTCCCAAGTGATGCGTGGTCTCCATTGAGCTGGGGTGACTGCTTTTCCGGCTTCCCAACTGCGGTCCCGCTTGTGGTGGTGGCGGCGGCGACCAAGTCGGTGCTGGTCTCCTTCTTGGCTTTCTTTCTCAACTTCTTTTTCTTCTTCTTTGCCTCTCCGTCCACTCTGATAGGGCCGTGGATGGCAGACTGCTGGAGGATGTCGGAGGCCGACACCGCTGCCTCCCGGCACCGCTGCCACTCCTCCTCGCTGTCCTCACTGCTGCAAGGGGAGGGCACCAAGTGGCCATGGGGCCCGGAACCGCCTCTCACCACCCTCGGTCTCAGCCACAGGGAAGAGGTCGCAGCGGGAGGCGGCTAGAGGGCTCCGGCTTGGGAGTGAGGCCAGCCAGGTTCCAACCCCGGCTTCTCTGCTTCCCAGCTGTGTGACCTCATTAAGTGACTTCACCTCTCTGACCCTCAGTGTCTTCGTTTACGAAATGGGGATCTTAACAGAGCCCAGGCCTCACAGGGATGCCCCAGGAGTGAGGTATCTGGCACAAGATGGTGCTCAAGAAGCAGTAAAAATCCAAAGGCAACGCCCAACAGAACCTTTTCTCCCTCCCACTGAGGGCACCATTTCTCGAGCTACCTGACAGGGCTCCTCCTTGGCCTGGATCTGATCAGATTCTGCTCGGCTACTCCAGGGGACTGGCGAACACAATGGGCAAAAAGGAGGGAACGCGAGGAGAGGGTGGGAGACCTCACCTGGAGCCGGAAGGTAATCGCTTTCGGCCAGGCTGGGGAGCAGCTTTCTTCTCGGAGCCTCCAGGGACGGAAGTGAAGAAGAGGCGGAAGCCTGAAATCCAAAGGGCCAGAGTCAGCAATACCAGGGGCCGGCCCCTCCTCCCAGGCACCAAGGTGGCCCTGCCCCTGCCCTCAAGGAGCTCCACGTAGAGGGGAAGACCCAGGAATCACTAGTGGTTAGCTGATTACAAAAAGATGCCTTGTGTGTTGAGAGGCACACGTGATGCCTGCTGGAGCCAGGGGACGGGGTGCCTGAGGGGACGCCAGCTGCCCCATGAGGGCAGCAAGCCCTAAGAGGAACCGGAAGGCAGCAGGTGAACCTTCTACGTCAGGCAGCTTCCACAGTGGCAAGTGGGCTGGGCACGGGGCAGACAGGCTCCCCCGGGGACGTCTGGGGGGTGCGGCAGTGAGACAGCCCCTCTCCGGCTCCCACACACAAAGGTACTTCAGGCGAGAGACTTCATTTCTCAGAGCCTCAGCTTCCCCTACAGCTCCCCCTGTAGACGGGGGTATCATCACCACGATGCCTGCCTCAGAGAGGGCTGTGTGGATCAGAGAGTGTACCGAAGCGCTGTCTGCCGCCCAGACACACATCAGGTGTGTCGTGAAACAACACCTGGCATTAACATAATAGTATGACTGCTCACCATCATCCTCTGCAGGGACTTTCTGTACCTCAGCCTTTGCCGGCTCCTTCACAACTTCTGAGATGGTAATTGAGCTATGGAAGGAGGAAATGGTTGATTTAGGATGAGATTTTGGGGTAAAAAGAAAAAAGTTAAAACTTTTTTTTTTTTAAGTGGAGGGGACAGGGGCATGTGCCCGATTAAGGATGGTAACGCCTATAGCCGTAACATGCTAAATGGCCCCTGTCGGCGCGAATGGCAACACTTCCTTGTTCGAACCCCACTTTATTCCAGAAAGTGTTGAACAAGTTTTAAAGATACCAACAGTACAAGAAAATGAATGCATGGGGTGCCTGGGTGACTCAGTCGTTAAGCATCTGCCTTCGGCTCAGGTCATGATCCCAGGGTCCTGGGATTAAGCCCCGCACCGGGCTCCCTGCTCGGCGGGAAGCCTGCTTCTCCCTCTCCCACTCCCCCTGCTTGTGTTCCCTCTCTCTTGTCTTTCTCTCTGTCAAATAAATAAATAAATAAAATGTTAACAAAAAAAAATGAATGCAATTTCAAATAGAACAAAGGGAAAATAGGCTAGGAGGGACAGAAATTGCTGGAGAGAGGTCACATGGTTTGCTTTGAGTGTCCTGGCAGCAAGCATGAAAAGGGAACTAAGACCAATCTGGAGAACTGGTTCAGAGGTCAGCTTCTACAGCAGGGCAGACCTATTTTTTGTTTATTTTCTTAATTTTAATTTTAATTTTTTTAAAATTTGAGTAATTATGGGTTGACATGCAGCTGTAAGAAATAAAACAGAGATCCCATATACCCTTCCCTTTCCTCCCTACGGTAACATGTGCATAACTAGAGTCCAGGATCACAACCAGGAAACAGACATTGATATAACCCACTGACTTTATTTACACTTCAGAGACCTGGCTTTGAATCCTGGCTTCGTCACTTCCTTGCGGTGTCCCCTTTGGCAAGAGACTTCATCTCTCTGAGCCTGTTATTCACCTGCACACCGAGAATAGTAGCCCTATGTTTTAGAGTTGTTATGGGATGAAATGACATAGTGGGTATCAAGCACTTACTTAGCATAGAGCTTGGCCACAAGCAGGTGCTCAGTAAATGGCAGCTATGATGGTGATGAAGATGGTTACTGCCATCAAGCTGAGCAGCGAGAAGTACTGAGATGAGGAAGCATCTCTCTGGTGAATGCTGATGAAGTCACCATGCACTGCAGAGAACAACGCTCCCACAATGTCCTGGCAGCAAACACAGCAGCGCACTGGGTGCATTCTCCTAACTGCCTTCCCTTTGTGCCAAAGGCATCCCCTAGAGCGCTGTGCAGGAAAGCAGGGACAGGGCACAGAGCCTCTGCTGCCCAGGGGCCTAACTCCAACCTGAGTATCTGACACAGTGGTTCAACGTCGGTCTGCAGGGGACATCAGGCAATGTCTGCAGACATTTTTGGTTGTCACGACTGGTGGTGGTGGTGGTTGGTGGCGGGGGGGGGGGGGGGGGGAGATCGCTATTAGGATGTCGTGGATAGAGGCCAGGGATGCTCACTGTTCTACAATGCACAGGGTGGCTCCCCACAAACAGGAAAGATCCAGACCAAAATGTCAGGAGTGCCAAAGCTGAGAAACCTCGATCTAACACAAGGAACCAACTAGAGTATCATTTAAGTCTCTTTTCAGAGAAACACAGAAACACCACGGGAATATGCTGACCGTGGTTGACCTGTATCCTGCGGGATTTCCACCTGGGGAAACGTCCAATGTGGATCTGCAATGCCGCCAGGCCTTGTTCACCCTGGAGCCAAAGGGTCATGAAGACAAACTGCTCCCACATGTTGAAATGCATGTTTACCACATTCGCGAGCTGGACTGGTACTGAGGCTGTGACGGCTCAGGCTTCGAAGGTCTGGCCCAACATTCTGTCTCAGAGTGCAGCTGGCTTATACTTTGGGAGGACACGTTTCTCTTTTTGATAAATTGAAGGACTACAGCCTGAACATCTTCATCTCCCTTTCAAAAGCTGGTGGGGCTCTGCCAATCAGGAACAGATCTAGACCAGCGTATCCTGAAATGTGTTCCAGGCTACACTGATCAGTCTTCCCTGAAACAAAGCCACTGTGGCCAAATGAGTTTGGAAACTGCCAGGCCAAGCAAAACCACACAGGTCTCCTGACTGCAGGATTCTCAAAGCCTTGAATATACTGTTCTGAATCTAAGTCTCCAAGGGCACAAGGGGGTATATAGATTGCAGTGTTTCCCAACTTCTTAGCTGTTGGACCCCTTCTTTTGAGAGCCATGCTTTGGACTTGGCGCCTACCTGAGGAATGCCGACCGGGATCTGTACAAATTACATTCTCAAATGCAAGAAAAAGAACCAGTACGGCACTGGGCGTAAAGAAAGTACCCCCAAAATAGTAGTTTGGGCTGTCTCTAGCCTTCTTGTGGTGGGAATGAGCTCTTGCTTCTTGGGTTCCTCTTATTTTCATGGTAGCAGGATAATGCAGTAGTTAAGAGTGTGGCCTTTAGGGCCAAACACACTTGGGGTTGAGTCCCAGCCTTGCTCCTTACACCCTGTGGCTTCGAGCAAACGATCCTTCTCCCAGAGAGCCCGTTTCCTCATCTACAGAATAAGGACAACGATAGCACGTGTATGGTGGGCTAGTTACAAATGCCATGAGGGGACATATGCCACGTGCTTGCCCAGTGCCTGCTTGCACACCTTGAGCTCCCAGCTGATGTGAGCCATCCCTGTTTGTATTAAAGGAGGCAGGAGAAGAGAAAGTATATCTTTGGTTACCTGTCCAGCAGGGCTCCCAGTTTCTTGGCTACGTGAGCTCGGAATTCGGGGGTGGTCTGAAGTTCATTGCCATCTTGTTCATGTTCATCCACTTTATGCCTACAACACACACGAAAGCACCTCACTTCCCGCCAGCTCAGCAGCTGCCCCCTCCATGAGGGCAGGGACTCCGTGGGCTTGTTCACCCTGACATTCCAGGGTCTAACCTCGTGTCTGGCACATGGCAGGGGATCACTATTTGTTACAAGGGTGGATTAAATTTGAACCCAACATGCACAGTACCTGAGGCTCGGCTGGGTGGCTGGCCGCTGATTATTTCTGGCATCTGTAGAAATAAGGAAAATTGAGGCATTTATAAAGGAAATGTTAACAATGTCCGTTGGGTGTCGGACGTGATTTACATGTGTTAACACACTGAATGCTCCCAACAACCCTGTTAAAGGAGTTATTGATGATTTTGCAAAAGAGGAAGCTGAGGCAAGGAGATGTAAACTAACTTGGCCAGAGTCACACAGCTAGTAAGTGACAGAGTTGGCGTAAGACCCAAGTCATCTGGCTCCAGAGCCCCCTCTTAACCACCACGCTGAACAAGAAAGTCTAAGTGTATTTGATTCCAGTGTTGACTGCACACCTACTATGTGCCTGCCTGTGTGCTAAGGGCCTGGTGGTCATTCACTCAACCAAATCCTGAAGCTCTAATACTACCCAGGTGGTGGTCCAGTTGCTGAACAATTTAGATATAGATCCCAGCCCTCATGGAGCTTCCATTCTAGTTGGTGGATATGGATGACAAAACTACACAATTAAAATATAAAATTAGATAATGATAAAATACACAGGGAAAAAATAAAGCAGGGGAAGGATGTAGGGGAGGGACTAAATGAGGGATCATTTTATAAAGGTGGACAGGGAGGAATTCACTGATAGGTCACATGTGAACAGAGATTTCAGAGAGGGGAGGGAGTGAGTCAAGTGCATACCTGGGGAAGAATCTTCCAGGTAGAGGGAAGAACACCTGCAAAGGCCCTGAGGCAGAAGTTTAGAACCAGCCAGGAGGCTGGTGTAGCTGCAGCCCAGTGAGTTGGGGGAGCAGCAGAAATGGGGACCTCGTGGGATCAGGAAGGGCCTGGTGGGCCAATATAAGGACCTGGGCCTTGAGGGAGGCGAGGAGACACTGGAGGATTCTGCACAGAGGAGGGACATAAATGGACTTGGGATTTTCCAGCATGTCTCTGGCTGTGTCGTGGACACAGGCCATAGTGGGGCGATGGCAGAAGGAGGGGGCCTCGGCAATCATGGAGACGATGCCAAGTGGCAGGGCTCTGGATGCATGTATTTTGAAGCAGTCAGCAGGATTTTGCTGATGGACCAGATGGATGGCGTGAGAGACGGATGAAAGATGGTTCTCAGGTCTTTGACTTGAGTAATGGGACAAAATGCGCTTGTGTATTGAGGGAGCCAATTGGACAAAATGATTACTTGGTAAATCTGGGCCCCAAGCAGGGCCTCATGGTCTTGAATGACTCCAGAGCACGCAGTTCACGTTGTGGTCTGTGTCAAATGTGCTCTGGGGCACAGCACACAATGCAGAGTGCCCAGTGCTCCTGGAGTTGGGGAACCTGGAAGCCTGGGATGGACCCCGTCCTTTCTTCTGAGCACACAGTCACAAGGAGGAGGAGTACTTCCTCCATCATGACTACACAGCCAGGGCAGTGACATAATGTCTCGGAACAGCAACAGTATGAGGCCCCAGACCCCAGAAGACAGGGTTCAGTTCTGGTTCTTCCACTGTGCCTCTGGGCAAGTCATTTTACCTCCCCAAGGCTTTGTTTTTGTCATCTATAAAATAGGGATAAGACCACCAACTTCCCAGAGTTAACTGTGAGGACACAGTGAAGGTTTACAGTTTTGGACACTTTGTCTGCAGGTTTATCTCCTCCCTGGATTTGTAAGCGGCTGGAGCACATGGTCTGCCTCTTGTTATCTTTACATCTCCAGCTCCTGGCGTAGTGCCTTGGTGTGAAAGAAATGTTGCATAGGACATTCAAAGTGTATGTTGCCCTAAAATATAAGTGGTTTGAGGTGTGGGTGATCGGTACCTCATTACCGATTAAAGAGCTGTATCAGGGGTTACCTTAATAATATAGTCACTTATGGGGTACCTGGGTGGCTCAGGCAGTTAAGCATCCAACTCTTGATTTCAGCTCAAGTCACAATCTCAGCGTTGTGAGATGGAGCCCGGCATCAGGCTCTGCACTGGGCGTAGAGCCTGCTTAAGATTCTCTCTCCCTCTGTACCCCCACCAACTCGCGTGCACATACTCTCTCTCTCAAAAAAAAAAAACAAAACAACAAAAAAAACTTAGTAATATAGTGACCTACATTTCCACATGGTCATGGACCAAAGGATGGGAGTTTTGCCCACAAAAGGCACTTGTCTGTGGCGGGGAGTGAGTGGCAGAACAGCAGTTAACGGCATGGGCTTAGAGTCAGAAAGACCTGGATTTATGCCTGACTCTGCTACCTACAAGCTGGATGACCTTTCTGAGCATCCACATTCTCATTTGTAAAATGCGGCTAATAATTGCTGGAATGGTATTGCTGGAAAAATTAAACCAGACAACAAATACGAAGTGTTTAGAACAGGGCACACAGGGGCGCCTGGGTGGCTCAGTTGGTTAAGTGTCTGCCTTCAGCTCGGGTCATGATCTCGGGGTCCTGGGATCAAACCCCACAACGGGCTCTCTGCTCAGTGGGAAGTTTGCTTCTCCCTCTCTCTCAAATAAATAAATGAAAAAAAAAAAAAAACAAAAACGGACACACAGTAAACGCTGAACTCATGGTGGCTATTACTATTAGAATGACCCAAGAAGGGGTGCCTGGGTGGCTCAGTCATTAAGCGTCTGCCTTCGGCTCAGGTCATGATCCCAGGGTCCTGGGATCGAGCCCTACATCGGGCTCCCTGCTCAGCGGGAAGCCTGCTTCTCCTTCTCCCACTCCCCCTGCTTGTGTTCCCTCTCTCACAGTCTCTCTGTCAAATAAATAAATAAAATCTTAAAAAAAAAAAAAAAAAAGAATGGCCCAAGAATGTATGTCAAGTGTTCAGTATTTTTCCTGGCACACAGAAGGTGCTCAATAAGTAAGAGGGCTGATTATCAGCAGCTACGTCTACTTTGGTCAGCAGAAGGTTTACGATTTCACAAAAACAATGAGTGGCAAAGCTGCTATCTGGGATGCCACTTCTCCCACGTGCATCTCTTTTGTTGGTCAAAGCTGTTCATGTTTGAGACTCACGACAATCCTAGGACTCAGGCATTTTACACATGAGGAAATTGTGGCTCTCAGAAATTATTTTACTTGTCTGGGGCCAGCTTCAGAGCTGGTACTTCATATTAAGTCCTCCCTTTATTGCCACAGAGAAATCCATTCTGTCAAGGCAGAAGCAACTGGACCGAAGTCTGGTTGGAGTCTCAGTCCCTCACTCATCAGAGAAGTGCCTTTCTGGCAAGTTCATTAAGAACTATTTTCCTTAGGTGCTAGGCCGTGGGGATACCATGGTGAAGAGACAGGCCAGATCCCAGTCTTCGTTAAGTTCACACTACGTAATCTCTCACTAAAATATTTGTGGAGCAAGTCAGGCCAGGATTAACTCCCCGACAAGTCCTAGGGATGCAGGGATGAAAGGAAAAAAGACAAGCAGCAATCGCAGGGAAAAAGGAAGCACCATCTATGAAGGGAATCGCACAAGGTATGATGGTGACACTGTGAAGACATGTAACCAGCTTTTCTGAAGAGGTGGTATCTCAGCTGTATCAAAGGGCAAGCAGGAGCTAAGCAGGAGAGAGAAAGTACTCTATGTAGAGAGAATAATCACATGACTACTGCCACTTATTGGGCCTTTAATATGTGCCAAGCATTGTAGATATATCACCTCAGTTATTTCTCAACCTTGGGGAGGGGAGGTGGGACTACCGTTAACCCTACAAGTGCCTTGCCCAAATTCTCATTGCTAGTTGAGTGATGGAGTTGGAAAGGCAGACCTGTATGTAGAACCTGAAGAGAAAAGTGCTGAGTTATGGTGTCCAGGGATGAGGCGATATAATTTGGAGTCTACCTATGGGAAATGCAATGTGGCAGGACAGCAGGAAGGTAGAGGTAGGCAGGGAATGAATTACCAAAGGGCTTGTAAGTCCTTTTAAACAAAAGCGGGGGTTCTTAACCTTGCTTTGCTATGGTCTGCTTTGGCAGTCTGGTAAAGCCTGGATCCCTCCTCAGAACAATGTTTGAAATGCATGAAACACAACACATATGATTACAAAGAAAGCCAATGATACAGAAATCCAGTTATCATTAATAGTAAAATAAATAAATAAATAAATAAATTGGCACATCACTGAGTAAGGGACAGGTGAGGCTAGGTAGCAAGAGACAGGTAGTGGGCTATGTGACCAGGCTCATGGATATCCTAGAGGTGGGGGAAATGTTATAGACAAGATATTAACCAGACAGCAGGGAACAAAACAAATCCATCTGGTTTGTTCTAAATATAGACAAGATACTTTCATAATATTTACAAATCCACCTTGTCCTAAATGTTATAAACAAGATATTTAGGATAAAAGCCCTCAGTGGCAACCCATTCCAGCTGCCTCTCACTCTAGAGCGCTTTCCTTTCCATTCTCACCTTCCGTTAATAAACCTTCACTTCATTTCACCCTTTGTCTGCCAGATTCATTCTTTGACTCTGTGAAACAAGAACCCTGCAACCCTGCAACATTACTGTATGTGCTTCTTTATTAATGCATTGTCTTTATTAATGCATTAAGATCTACCGATGGGCCTAAAAATGACTGCAATATTAAAGCAGGGATGAGTGTAAATTATTTTTTCCCAACATCTAATTGTGAATAAAGTGATATTTTGATACATAAAGACTGTGATGGGATATGAAAATCTGTGATTTTGTTAGGACCAAGTAACAGGTATTGCCCAAACGACTGTAGTTTGTGGCTCACATGCATGACAGAAAAGGATGCTAAATTTCAAATGCAGGTTAATGAAAGTAAAGGTGAAATATCTTTCCAAGGGGCGCCTGGGTGGCTCAGTCGTTAAGCGTCTGCCTTCGGCTCAGGTCATGATCCCGGGGTCCTGGGATCGAGCCCCACATCGGGCTCCCTGCTCAGCAGAGAGCCTGCTTCTCCCTCTCCCACTCCCCCTGCTTGTGTTCCTGCTCTCGCTATCTCTCTCTCTGTCAAATAAATAAATAAAATCTTAAAAAAAAAAAAAAAAAAAGAAATATTTTTCCGATTCCAAATTCACGGATCCTCTGGATTCTATCCATGACTAGGAATCCCTATGTTGAAGGGCTTCGGATTTATTCTCAGAGTAGTGAGAGTCACGGTCAGACACCTGTAAGACTCAGCTCGCTGGCTGCCCCAAGGTCTGAGAATGAGCTCGCTGGACGCGCAGTAAGGCTGGAGACCGGTATCCAGTAAGGGGGGCTGTCGCAGTCATCTCGGAGAGATGGCGGACTGCGAGAGCGCGGCAGTGACGATGGACCAAAGGAAGCAGAGGGAAGAGACATTCAGGTGCCTCAGTTTCCCTGACTGGGATAATGGAACAACCCTCCCTCTTGCACCTGCCCGCTTTTTTTTTTTCCCCCAAAGATTTTATTTATTTGACAGAGACACAGCGAGAGAGGGAACACAAGCAGGGAGAGTGGGAGAGAGAGAAGCAGGATTCCCGCGGAGCAGGGAGCCGGATGCGGGGCTCGATCCCGGGACCCTGAGATCATGACCTGAGCCGAAGGCAGACGCTTAACGACTGAGCCACCCAGGCGCCCCAGCCTGCCCGCTCTTTGAATCTGAGTTCCACCCAGTCCCTGGAGCTTTCTCAGGGAGAGAAGTCGAGCCCCGGTCACACCCTCCTCACCATCCATCCTCTGAGACCCCAGGGGAAGATCCCATGCCTTTCCGCCAGACTCCCAGAACACAGCCTCCTACCTGCTCTTGGCTTCTCCGGCCCTCCCGGGCGCTGCGCCAGGCCCCAGGCCGGCATCGCCGCCTCGCGGCACCGTGCTAGCTCCTCCGCGTCGCTGCTGCTGCTCTCCAAATCGCTCAGGGTGCCACAGGGCGCCGCCATCTTGAGCTACCGCAAAGGATTGTGGGGAGCACTTCTACTAGCGAACCACAGAAGGGCGGGGAGGCGCAAGGTATTGTGGGGATTGTAGTTCTCCGACTCCGGCCGCCCTTGGCCACGAACCACCCAAAGGGTTTCCTCAAAGGTGAGAGCTAGAAGGGCCTAAGAGGTGAACTTCTCCATCCTTTTCTTGATGAGGAGAATGAGACCTACAGAGGAGAAGGAATTGCCTAAAGACATACAGGGAGTTAATAACAGAACCAGCACTGGTTCCTAGGCTTTGATCCAATGTAGTTTCAATATTATCCATTTGTTCAGTAATTACCAAATTCTTCTAGGCATGAGAAACACCATAGGGAACTTGTTAAAATTTGGATTGTTGTGTCCATCAAAAATTAACGAAAGGAGGGCGCCTGGGTGGCTCAGTCTTGGTTAAGCATTTGCCTTTGGCTCAGGTCCTGATCCCAGGGTCCTGGGATCTCCCCTCCCCCCTCCCCCTCCCCCTCCCCCTCCCTCTCCCTCTGCTCCTCCCCCTGCTCCTGCGCAGGCTCTCTCCCTCTCTCTGACAAATAAATAAAATCTTTAAAAAATATATTTAAAAAGGAATCAGGGCAAAGGGAAGGGGGGGAATGAAACTTTTTATTGGGTGAATGGAGTAAACCTGATCACATGAAGTGCTCTGATGATAGAGGTACTGTTCTTTTCCTAACATCCTTGGACCATTATGTACTGTTTGTGTGTGTGCATCAGGAGTTGAGAGAGTTGTTTTACGCTTCATCATCCTCCCCGTCCCTGACTTTGCCTCCCTCCATCTCAGTTTCCCTGCAATCTTCATCTCCCAGAATTAGGAGGCTCAAATGATTCAGCAAGAATCACCAGGACAGCATTAGCACCCGTGGAAAGAGATTAAGACAATCCAAAAGCGAATAAACAAAGGTTATTTATTCCCAGCTTCCTATTGCAAGGGAGTCAGCCACTGTCTCCTGCAGACTGGCAGAGACTCCAAGATAGCAAAAAGCTTTATAGTGGAAAAAAGAGAAGGCTTCAGGTACGTCCTGATTGAAGCTGTCGGCATGGGGAAGCAGTAGGTAGCTAACTAGAAGCAGGCCGTCCTCACTGTGATTGGTTAGGGGGCTTATTTGGCTTTTTCTGGTTGGTTCTAAGTTGGAAGTGAGGTGGAATTAGGGAAGCTGACAGTGACCAAGTCCTGACGATTCGGGGTTGACTGCTGCAGAGGTGGTGGTTTGGCTTCCCGGGCTGGGGGCTGCAGAGGTTGTGTGGGTCAGAATCCTGTCGTCCTATGTGGTCTGGCCATTGTCCTTTGTATACCAAGTGTCTCACATCCTTCCTCATTCTCCCACTGGCAGGGCTAGGCTAACTGTGTACAAAGCTGGTGAAGACATGGCACCTCCCCAGGGGAGAGCTGGAAGAAGTGGTTGATATGCCGAGTCCCGGATTAGCTGGGTGAAAATGGAAACCTTTCAGCTTTCTTCTTGGAGAGGATAAGGGTGTCACTGTCCTGGATCCCGTAGCTGCACAAAGACAACCAATCCTGCAGGACTTGACCTTGGAACTCTAGCTGCTGCTGCTTTCTGGGCAGCCCCTGCTTGTCTTCAATCTGCTGCTTCAGGCCCAGGATGAAGCTCTTGGGGTCAATGGCATAGGCGTGGCTCCCCCCATCGCGTTTCTTCACAAAGACCTGGATCTCGAAGGAGGTGGTCTCCACCAGACAGAGGCGAATGTTGGAGAAGATGCTGTAATCGGCCAAGCAGCACTGGCTACTGAGGAGCTGTCGCTTGCCACCAGGCTCCTGGAAGGACAGATGCTGCAGGCCCAAGGAGTCCCGGGTCTGCCAGATCTTCTCTTGAACCTTCTTTATGGGCTCGTAAGGGTTCACCCTAAGGATCAAGTCTGAGCAACCCCACTGTTCTACTGTCACTTGGATGTCTCGTGCCATCTGGAAGGGAGAGAAGAGGGAGAGGGGGTTAACTCCACACTCCTCTGCCGGACGTGCGAAGGTCCCCGTCACCTGTCCCCATGTTTCCAACAGCAGCAGCAAGACATTTGGGTTGTGCCAACCACCGTCCAGGCCCCGTACTGGGCGCCTGTCACACTCTTCTGAATGCCTTTCATTCTCACACCAGCCCTATGAGGTTGGTTCCTATTTTCCCCTTGTACAGATGAGGGTTAAGTGACTTACTGACCGTCAGGGAGGTAGTGAGGAGCATAGCAGGTATTTGAACCAAGGTCGGTCAGACTCCAAAGTCTGTTCTTTGCCACCACCAGAGGTCATGTTCAAGGGTCTGGGAGTCTCTGGTGGCTGGGAGTCTCTGGTGGCACCTGGAAGGTGCTGGGGAGGGCTGGACCCCTAACTGATCTTTTCCAGAACAAATATAGGCCCAGAATTCCCATGTCTTCCGATGTTTCAAGATAAACATCTTTGCACAGTGGTTTTTATATTCAGGAAAAATCCAGAGGCATATACTTTTCAGTGTGTCTGTGGGCCTCACTTGGCTGGTGGGCCCCACAAAGACCTGGCCTGGGCGTAAATCCTGGCTCTGCTCTTAGCAGTGTGATCTTGGTTAATTCACGTAACCTCTCTGAGCCTCGGTTTCTTCATCTGTAAAATGGGGATGATAACATTCAAGATAGTGATAATAAAAATAAAAAACTCTCTGTTTTACACACTTGTCCTGGGGCAAGTGCTTAACAAGTTACTAAGTACGATAGGCATAGAATAAAATTGATTATTATGATCTTTGACTGTACGGTAGGTTTGCCATTACATAATAATATTATTTAGCATTTTTTGTTCCCCGAGTAATTTCCCTGGCAATTCTTTTCTTTCTAGCAGTTTCGTGCAAATTTGTTTCAAGGGCTTGCTTCCTACCAAAATCCAGTGAGTTCTTTGAGAGTAGGAGCCATGTTTGACTTCGGCACCACGGCTGGTTGTCCCCACCAGCCCCCAGTGCTGGCACAAAATAGCTGCTGAATTCACTTGCCTGGCCTCAGCTCATGTGCTCCGTGATCGGGAGCATGACCGATTCTCCAGTAGGTTATGGGAAAGAGAAAGAAAAAGGAGAACATGACTTTGAAAGGAACCGATCTGAGGCTCAGAGGGTTGCAAAACGCCCCCAAGTTCACAGAGCTGCTGGGTGTTGCAGCCAGGCCTGTCTGGCTCTAAATTCTTGTTGGCGCCATCGACACAGAAGGTAAATAGGTAAATTCTGTGCAGTTACCTCCTTCTGAGCTTCAAGCCCCTGATAGCCCCATGGAGGAGGCATTACCTTCACGGTCCAGCCGGGGACCGGGTTCTCCTTGTTGTCATAGCAACAGTCATGTTTCAGGCAGTGGCAGGCCCTCTGAGCGACTATGTCCCATCTGTACCCTTCGGCCACATTGTGGGTGGGGTCAGCTGGATCCAGGATGATGGGCCTGCAACACAGGGAGAGGTTCCCAGGCCTTTCCGGTCTGGAGGCCAGCAAGCCAGAAAGAAGCCTACTCAAGCAGTCATCTAGTCAAACCACTGAGAGTATGCTGGGTCCAGAGCCCCTGGGCCTTCAGTCCAGGAAGGCCCAAGAACATTGCTGGAAAGGAACAGAATGGGGATGATTATATTTCCAAGAATTCCTTTTCGGCATGTGGAGTGTTGAGATCCCCAAGGGCATGCTGTAGCCATAATAGATGCCTGCTCAGGCAGGCGGGGCCTCTTAAGTCCACGGCTTTTGTTTTGCTGAGCAGGACATATGTAAGTTTGAGGTCAAGGCTGCCGAATTGCTTTGGATAATAGAAACACCACCACCAACTACTGATAGTTATTGAGGCACTGGGTCAAGCCCTACGTGAATTAACCTGTTTTAATCCTTATAACAATTCTAAGAGGGAGAGACTATTGGTTTCTTTTTTTTTCTTTTTTTAAGATTTATTTATTTAAAAGAGAGAGAGCGAGAGAGCAAGTGCATGAGCAGGGGGAGGGGTAGAGGGAGAGGGAAACAAGCAGACTCCTGCTGAGTGAGAGCCTGATGTGGGGTTCGATCCCAGTACCCTGAGATCATGACCTGAGCTGAAATCAAGAGTCGGACGCTTAACCGACTAAGCCACCCAGGCGCCCCGGGAGAGACTATTGTTATTGCTGTTACTGTTGTCCCCATTTCACAGATAAGGAAACTGAGGCACAGACTTCTCTCAGTTCTTACAGCCAGCAAATGGGTATTCTTTTTTTTTTTTAAATATTTTATTTATTTGACAGAGAAAGACAGCACAAGCAGGGGGAGCGGCAGGCAGAAGGAGAAGGAGAAGCAGGCTCCTTCGCTGAGCAGGGAGCCCGATGTGGGACTCGATCCTGGGACCCTGTGATCATGACCTGAGCTGAAGGCAGTTGCTTAACCAACTGAGCCACCCAGGCGCCCCAGCAAATGGGTGTTCTTACCCATCTGGTCTGCTTCAGCAGAGAAAGTTTGGGCTGCCACCAAGTGTCTCTCTTCTATATAAATGGTGAATTGATACCTAAAGAATATTGGCGGGGCGCCTGTGTGGCTCAGTCGTTAAGCGTCTGCCTTCAGGCTCAGGTCATGATCCCAGGGTTCTGGGATCGAGCCCCGCATCGGGCTCCCTGCTCCGCGGGAAGCCTGCTTCTCCCTCTCCCACTCCCCTTGCTTGTGTTCCCTCTCTGACTGTCTTTCTCTCTGTCAAATAAATAAAAAAACACTTAAAAAAAAAAAGAATATTGGCTTGAAGGGGATCTAACAGCCTCTTTCGGTTGCTTGGGGTGACCACATGTGTTGGATGCCAAGCCCATGATTAAGACCTGGCTCTTGCCCTGCAGGAGCTTTTGGCTTAGGAGGGAGCTGTGATTTTATCTATGACAGAAGGTGGCAGTATACTATGGGAGTGTGCGGGACACTGTAGGCTCTATGTTTGCTACTCCCAATATCCCTGCATCCCTGAAATAGCCCTGCCTGAAACAGGGAGCAGTGCCAGGCTGTCCTATAGGGTAAGATCACCTGACTCAAAGTGACTGGCCAGGTGACCCAACATGTAGGGCCTGGGCCCAATGAGTAGACTGGTTCCGTCTGGGGTTTGGACCAAGGATGATGGA